TGCGCTCTTGTTCACTCGGTCTCTCTCTCTCTCTCTCTCTCTCTCTCTCTCTCTCTCTCTCAAAGAGCTGTCACTTATGAGGTAGCCGGCTACCCGAGTCGAGTATTCTTCGTCTTTTGATACTCTCGGATCCGTGCTTGTCAAGCCTTAGATTTTTATATTCAACTAATTCGAGCAAATACTCTATATTACGTTAGATAATTCTAAATAAAAGAATTACTAATTAATGTTAAAACAGCAGGTCTCGTAGCCAGTCGCAACATCTTATTTAACCCGTTTAATCGGCTACCTAGTTATCCGAGAACGTTTGCTTTACCCGGGTCTTGCTGGTACGTACTCGATCCAACAATAAGCAACTCGAAAGTTAGCAGCTGTACGTATTCCCTTTCGGTTTCTTCTCGGTCGCCGCGGCCACGAGCGAAGAGGAGCGAAGTGTCGGCGAAAGCTAATGACGCTGCGAGGGTGGGTATATAGCGCGGGGGTGTACTCTCTTTTCGCAGTCGTACGGGAAAAAGGGAACGTGGTCGTCGCATCGCGTCGCGGTCTCGCGGACATTTACCCGTGGCCGCCACCGTAAATGAGTATTTGCCTTTGTGAATAAATAAAACGCATTACAAAGTTGCCGGAGACGACAGGCGGCCGCGCCGCGGACAAGGAGGATTCACGGGACCGCGGAGAGCTCGAGAGCACTCGAAACCGTGGAGCAAAAGAACCGGAAAAGGGCTGAGCAGTCGACCCCGGAAGGGGCGAGTCGTATTCAAGGAGAAGGGACCGAGTCGGTCTACGGATACACTCTCGAGTAATCGAATCTCTGGTGCGCCCTGCGAACAGATTGCTTTCCAATGCTATCGAGTAATTGGCCCTTTGTTCGCCGAATCGCGTCGCGTCGCGTCGAAGGGTCGTCGCTCGGATACTGTTTCACGTTGCAACCCTTTACTTTCGTTTTTACCTCTCTGTGATCTTTGGAGCTGGCGCGCCTTCGTCGCTGTTTCGACAACACGGCGGACAAGTATAAATATTCGATCCAAACAATTCTTCTCGCTACGAAGTAGATGCATATTTGGCGTCGAGGCTGTTTCAATGACGCGTCAAGGCGATGCGAATATTCTTAGCAACCTTTGGAACGCGCGTAGACGCGTGTAATTTAGTAAAGTATAATCGAACGATTAACGTTGAATCGCATGATCGATATTAAATTGGATCGCGTCGAACAGTCTCGAGGTACAACTTAGGCCAAAGGGAACTCGGTCGAGAAGAAGAACAGATTAGATTACATAACTTCTGATACGGAGCATCGTCTCAGAGTTTCGTCCAGGTTTAGGAATTGAGACACCGATCGGAGCGGGGACTGGCCATGAGAAGCCAAAGTCTTCGGCGACCATAATCCGCTGACGGTAGCGTTTCGATGCCTGGCATCGACAACGACAACTACAACGGCAACGAAACTCGTCGAACTATGACGATGGTCGAAGGTCGAAGGAAACGTGGCCGCAACGGGAACGGGGATGGAAACGGCGGAGGCGGTTTCGCGGACGGGGTAGAGGGTGGAGGACGGCGGAGTCGGAGGCGAAGGTTAGAGGGCAGGGAGCAACATCTAAGACAATGAGATACGGGCCTTTGGAGTAATCCTCCGGCCTTCCTTGGCGTATCGACATTAATTCCCTCGCCCCTCCGTGCCCCCAGCTTTTAACCGGAACAGACGCACCCTATAATAGGCAAGTTGGAATCCAATCTGCAAGTTTGCAAATTCGATTCGGCCGTCTTGCGAGAAGAGCGCCGAACGAGCCGAGCGAGCCGAGCTATCGCCCCGCGTCTCGCGTTCCGCGACTTAAATCCTTGCCGGGATTCCCGAATTCTACGACCGCTGACCCTAGGACACCCTAGGAACTGCTCGTGGAAAACGCGGAATATACTCGGAAAATAATTACCGAGCTCGGTTCGCCACTTTCTGCCGAATAAATACGTTTTACGAGACGACGAGCGTCGCGAAGAGACGA